CCGCTCCGTGAGGGCCTGTAGCCGGGGAGCCACGTCCGGCGGGGACCTGGTGTTGTGTGCTAAACCTGTACTGGCTCTACCATAAACTGAGGTGACATGTGCAGAGCCTGGGACATGGTGAAGGTGATAGGAAGAAGGGAGGTGGATCAGTGGATGGGTGGGTGGGTGGATGAGCAGATGGATGGATAGGTGGGTGGGTGGGTGGATGGATAGTGAAAAACCAGCCTCTACCTCAGAGCAAAGCCTTCCTAGGAAGGGGGCGTGACCCTTGTCCTTGGAAAGGCCCACAGAGCGCTAAGCACATACCCACCCTGCTGAGTTGTTTATCTACAAATAACAGGAGAGATCTGCTGAGCCAGGTGTCCCTGACTCAGTTAGGCTAGGTGGGGACCCATAGCAACCCCCTAGCAATCACCAATCAGCATGAGACAGGGAAAGTACCTGGGACGCCAGATGACCCTCCCAGGAGTTTATGGTGGTTGAGAATATGTTGGGAAACCATGTAGTTCAGCACAAACACCCCTCTTGGCTTAAACCAGTCAGTTCAAATGAATCCCCCTCTTGTACTAACCAATCACCCCTACCCAACTTGTTCCTGCCAGTGAATGTGCTAGTCATGTTTTAGACTTGTTTTATGATTTTCCTGCGGTGTATGATGATTTGCTAAGAGATGTATGTGAAGTCCCTGCCTTCCCCAAAGAATGTATAAAACTGCGGCAAACCCTGGGCTCGGGGCCTCTCAGCGTCACCAGTTGCTGTGTGCACAGAGGACCCAGCTGGCTCCCAATAAACACCTCTTTGCTGCTTACATCAATCTTGGTCTCTGGTGGTCTTTTGGGGGTCCTGAATTTGAGCATAACAGTAGAAGGATGGGTGAATGGGGGGGTGGGGTGGATGGATAGGGGGTGGATGGGTGGGGAGGTGGATGGGTTGATGGGTGAGCAGATGGGTGGATGGATAGGTAGAAGGATGGATGGATGGGTGGGTGAGTAGATGGATGGGGTGGATGAGTAGATGGATGGGCGAATGGGGGTGGCGGTGGATGGATGGGTGGATGGGTGCAAGGATGGCTGGATGGAAGGGCAAATGGATGGAAAGGTAAGTGATAGTGGGTGGATGGACAGGTGGGAAGGTGAGTGGGCAGGTAGCCAGGTGGGTGGGTGATGGATGGATGGATGGGTAAATGTAGACCTGGAGAGAGTTGAAGGCTAAATAGAGCAAAGGCAAATTCAACATGACCGACCCTCTGAGGGTGTTCTAATCAAGGACGATGCTTTCCTGAGCACGGAGGATCGGGTTGAAATATCTGACCTACAGCCAGCAACACCCTCACAGTGGGCCATTTCCCAGTCACAACGGGGTGTGGATGGAGCCGTCCAGCTGCTGTGACTGAGGGTGGTCGCTTGCCTTTCCTCCAACCACACCTCTCATTCATTCACTCAACAGGGTTTGTTGAGGGCCCACTGTGTGCCAGACATGCTCCAGGCTCTGGGGACAGAGTAGTGAACTAGTAAGTCCACCCGGAATTTTTTTTTTTTTTAATTTTCTTGGTTGTGGGGAGAAGCACACATGTGGTGACCAGACGTGGACATTAGCCATGCAGATAATCAAGCAGGGTAGGAAAGCGGAGTGGGTCTGAGGCTGGGGGCCATGCCCTGGGCCGGGCAGCCTCTCAGAAGGGCTATTTGTGTGGAGGCCCAGCGGGAGGGCAGCCAGGAGCAGGCGGAGGAAGGAGGAATGGAGACTTCTCCACAGTCCCACAGGAACCTTGGCTGAACTGGGGCTGCGACCAGGATTACTGCAGATGTTGGGGTTCGGGGTTCCTGGGCTGACGCCTTAACTGTGGAAACACCAGATACAGTGTCCACAGAGGGTCTGGGCGGGTCCTCTGGGCCTGCTTCCGTGGCTTTGCCCGCCATGTCTCCTCCATCGTGGACAGCACGCTTGCCTGGGGCTCACGCCTACTGCGCTTCACAAGCAGGAAATGTTCATTATGTTATTTTATGGAGGTGGCAAATGCTGAGCCTCCAAAGGTGACAGCTCCATGCTCTGGTTGAGAGAAGGGACGGTGGGCTTTGGGCTGGGACAGGAAGGCTTGTCAGGGCAAGGTATTAGTATTTGAGGGCAGGTGCAAGGGGCAGAAAACCCAAAGTAAAGAGTAGCTCACACAGGAATGTCTTTCTTTCTGTAATAGCTCCTGAGCCGTGCAGTCCAGGTGGGAGCTGAGACTCCCCCCCTCCCTCCTCGGCATTTGGCTTTGACCTCATGGGTCAAGGTCACTGCTTATGCACCAGACATCACAACTGAATCACAGCTAACAGTGCAGATCTGAAGAACAGAAAGTCTTTTTCCCAGAAGAGGTTTCTAGAAGAATGCCATTTTAGCCTGATGATTGACCACCAGGCCCCTAGAAGGCCCATAGACTTGGCATGGCTGCCGCCTGGGAACGCACACCAACAGGGAGAGAAGCAGACATAGATGCCTGGGAAGCTCCGTAGCCAGGGGTGGGCGGCCCAGCTGCAGGGTCCCAGGCTCACAGGTCTCCCCCCCTAGCCATCCCTGCCCAACTGTCTCCTCCTCCCGACCACAGCCTTTTCTGCTGCCTGGGAACCCAGAACTCTGGTTGCTTAGGGCAGAGGAAAGGGTCCTGCAGACATGAGCGCAGGGCGGGAACCCCAGGATGGACTCTGGGGAGCATTCCAAAAGGAGAGCAAATGAATGAATCCATGGACCAACCAATGTCAGGGAGCCCCAATGTTATTCAGTAAACATCAGCCACGTGGCCTCTGAGAGTCCTCTTACACACTCCCCGTGACAGGGAGCTCACTACTTCCAGGAACAAGATGGCTTCAGTTTTAGATTGTCAGCTTCAAGGTAGACAGCACGTGGGACTGGAACACATTCAGCATCTTTCCGTGTGCTGTTCCCGACTTCAGGAGCAAGGGAAAGCACGGGGGCCTGGGCGCAGCTCAGGGGCAGCGTGGGGAGGCCCTGGCTTGCACCCCAGCAGCAAAAAATAATCAAACCAATGAAAAAGAGAAGGCCAGGAGCCGGGGGCTGGCGCTTGGGGACAGCCAGTCTCCTCCCCTCACGTTTCTGGGGAGGTTGTGGCCAGGTGGCGCTGTGCCTTGCCACACCTTGCCGGGGAGAAGCTCAGTTGTGCTTCCTCCTCCAGCCTCCCCGACTGCGCCCTGCAGCCCATCTCCCGGGCAGGGTCAAGGTCAGGGTCAGGGTCTGAGCCTCGGGCCTCCCGAGCCACGGCGGGAGCGCGCGCCTGCCCGCCCAGCGCGCGCCCGGGCTGCAGCTGCGATCGCGAGCCTGGGGCGCAAGCTGCGGCCACCTCCTGCCAACGCCGAAATGTTGACTGTCGCGCGCGATGCGACGCCAGCACAGACCGCCAGAGAAGTCGCTGGGTTTTCGTTTTGTGGTTATTTTTTTTTTTACAACTTTAAATACGGAATATAAATAAATTTTACATTTAAAAAATAAAAGGAAAGCCCCCAAAAATATAATCACCGACTTTACAAACTGAAGGAAGCAGGCTGGGGGTGCGGTGGGAGGCAGGGGAGGGAGCGCACCCCCCCCCAGGGCCTCCAGGTGCATCTCAAAGGGAGGGGACAGCGGGGACAGCAGAGCCCAGGCCTCTGTGTTACCATACCATGGGCTCACTCCTGTCTGACTACTCCAAGCCACAGCTTGGGTCAGAACAGGGCCAGTCCACACAGAGCCTGTGTGTGAATTAGAGACAGGATTCTTTTCCTCCGAGGCTTGACCTACATCTTCCAGAAACTGTCATAATAAATAGACAAATCGGCTATATCTAGGGTGTGCAGAATGCTCCCTTGCATGCAGTGCCCTTGTGCAGTACACACCCTGAACAATCTTAAATGGCAGTCTTGGCTGGGTTGGAATAAGATGGGCAGGTCTCCTGCTGCCCTGGCCCCTGGCCTTCTGCGTTGGAGAAGAGTGATTGGGGTCATTTGGGGCCTCAATCAGGGGTCCAAGAACCCCTTGGTAGAACAGACTGAAGGGCCAGGACAAGAGGAACACCCAGGGTGGAGGTAGAGAGATGAAACAGAAGAAGTGAATTGGGTGGCACTGGGGGAGGGGCGACACGGGAAGAGCAGGGGACGCTCAGGTCGCTGTCTAGGCCCACCTGAGGAGTGAGCCTCATTTAACCTGCCAGAGGGCACTCAGTCACCTGCCCAGGAGTCCCCGTCTTTGAAGATTCATACATATAAAGAGAAAGGAAGCCACTGGGAGCAGAGGTGGCCCGGAGGGGAGAGGGCGGCAGTTCTCCAGTCTGTGCCCCTGACGAGTGGTCCTGGCCACAGGAGTTGGAGAGATCCAGGTCACCTAGAGGTGTCTCCGGGAGCTGGCCCGGGGTCCAGGGACCGGGTCCTGAGGGCCACAGGCGAAGTTCCTCGGGCCAGTCCACAGCACTGGGCAGGGGTGGGCCACGCTTGGGGTGGGGTGGGAGACCCTGTCCCCTTCTGTCTCTCGCACTCCTGTCCCAGGTCCTTGGGGCCGGGGAGGGAGCAGCAGTGACTTGGCCCTGGTTTCCTTCTGGAGCTGCTGGGCAGGGCGCCGCTGGGAGGAGGGTGGACGGACATGTGGAGGGCGGGGGCAGCACCATTGGCCGTCCGCATCAGGCATCGAGACAGACGGACGAGGGGGACGACATTATCACTCCAAGGACCCCATGGGGGCAATACAGCAAATACCATGTTAAATAACCCTGCGGGCCAAGCAGAGGGACATGGGTCAGAGACAGCCAGGGTCCACCCTGCTCTTGGCAAGGCCAGAGGACCAGCATCAACCCCAATCCCAGCAGCCCTCAAGGCCGGGAAACGGGGGCCGGTGGGGGGGACTCGAGGTCTAGACTGTCCTCTCTCCGGAGGACAGCTGGAGCCTCCAAAGTCCTCCACCCTGCGCCCTGGGGACGAGCCACTGGTGACAGCACAGAGGAGGGCGAGCCTTCAGGGTGCTCTGGAGGGACAAGGCCTCCCCAGGTCCACCCGCCCGCCCCGGCCAGCGAGCAGGAACGCCCCGGGCCTGGCCTCACCTGCCCACACTCCTGCCGATGCCCCTAGGCCCCGAGGGTCTCCTTCAGCGCCGTCTTGTCATGTGTGTGCTTGAATTTCCGGTGCTTCCCCTTCGGGGGCCGGCGGACTCGCACTGTCCGAATGGTCACCCGAGTTTGGGGTGTCCTGGCTGCTCAAGAGAAGGGAAGAGCAATGAGCACGGCCATCGGGGGGTCTGCCCTCTCCACCAGGTGGTCCTCTGGGTGGAGGGAGGGACAGGAGACGCCATGGGGACAGGCATCCCGGGGTCCGGTCCCAGCCCCACTGGTCCCCAGCTGAAGAGGCCCGGGGACCATCATTGAGCCTCTCCCTGCCTCATCTCCATCTGTGAAATGGGGGCACGAGACGGGCCACCTCGAGCACCAGAGGGGGGAATAAGTGACAGTCCTGCAAAGCTCTCTGCACACTCCCCAAGGAGGGAGGGCTCAATGTGGCGCCCGCCCGCCCACCCGGGGCTGGGCCTGTCGTCACCAGCCCCTTATCCCGAGAGGCCGTGGGGGTGCTGGGCCAGAGTTCAGGCTGGGGCTCAGGCCCCAGGGTCCAGATCCAGCTGCGGCCTAGTGTGTGCTCAGCCTCTGGACCTCAGAGCCACGTCCTGGAGACGGCAGCCCTGCCGCCCAGGCTTATATTCATGCCACAGTCTTAACGTGAAGGAGATACAGCCCAGAGAACCCAGACCTCTAGTGTCCAAGAGGGTTCGCTACCTGACAAGGCAGCTGGTGGCCAGGGCAGACCTCTAGGAGGAGGCTTCTGAGCTGAGACCCAATCGAAGGGAAGGAGCTGGGCTCCTGAAGAGCCGGGGGAAGTGCTGGGACTCCAGCACTAGCATGAGCAAAGGCCCTGAGGCAGGAAGCTATCCAGCCACTTGAAGGTACCAGCCCTGCTAGGGTGAACAGTACCGGATACTGGCAAGGCCAGAGGACCAGCTAGGGCCTACCTCCTCATGTAGGGCCTTTCAGGCTGGGAGGAATCTAGATTGTTCGCCAGGACAATGGTGCCTGATCTGATTTCCACGATAAAGAGGCACGGGCTCCCAGCTGCTGCAGGGGAGGCAGGCTACACCTGCAGACTGGGAGCAGGCCCTGGGAGGGTGGGTACCTCGCTGCTCCTGGGAACCCGCGGGGCTCCGGGTCACAGGCCGCGCAGACACCACCGTCTCACACTTGCAGGCCAGGTGGTCCTCCAGGGTCACCGTGGCCTTCTTAAAGGTTGGCTTCTTCCGCACGATCTCGATCTTTCTCACCTGGAGGACAGAATCAGATCAGCCCTGGAGCCCGCGAATGCGGGTGCCAGGGAGTCGCACGGCCGGCTGTTCCCACCTGTCCCTGGAGCCCAGCTTTCCTCGAAAGCCCAGAGAGGAACCTGCAGGACCCATGTTTTGGCCTGAACAATGGCAGGGACTTGCCCTCTGCCCCTGGGAGCTTTTCCATCAAAACAAGCCCTGTGGCCGGCCTCAGCCCCTGGTCCCCCAGAGAGGGAGAAAGGCATTTCCGGGCTGTCCTCAGTCCTGGGGCACCGGCCAAGGCCAGGGCTGGCAGAGGCAGGAGATGGTCGTCTGGAAGGAAGCGGGGTGGGGGTGGTGGGGGTGGGGGGTGGTTAGGGGAGGGAGGCGGGAAGGGGGAGGGCGGCAGGCAGGTGTGTGTCCAGAGCTGGAAGGGCTGAGGACGGGAGACACCGTGGCAGCTGTGGGTGGAGCATGACATTCCTAATCTCGGGCACTGGGCCCAGGCCAGGATGGCAGGGACTGGGCATAGGCCACGGGGTAGCCCAGGGGAAGGGGGTGTGGCCAGGCGGAGCCAGCACCAGGCCGTGGTAAACACCTGGCAGGTGCACTGGGGAGGCCTGACCAGGGGTGCAGAGCCTGTCCACACCCATCAGAAGGCTGGTGAGGCTCCTGGGCCCTGCCCTGCCCAGCCTGAGGCCAGAGCCCTCTGGGACAGTGGATTCTGCACACTGCTTGGGACCAGTGTCTGTCACCTGGGGTGTTTTCTCGCCCTCCCTGTTAAAGACACAGCTTGGCGAAGGGATAAGAGAAGTAGTCAGAGCGCAGGACCCTTGCCCGAGCCTTTCTGAGACCCCTGAAAAGGGGAATCGTATCAAATGTTTGTGGAATGTCTCTGAGGGACATCATGAGATTTTATAAAGTAGGAGGCAGCGTCCATTTCTTCACGTCCCACGAGCAGCCCTGCTGGGGCTCAGGCCTGGGCACATGGGTCCTGACACTGCTCCGTGCCCCTCTGCGCCCCGGACGGGGAGGCGGCTGGACGGGACGCACCTGCACGGGCCGCAGCTGCACCTGCGCAGGCCGGCAGCGCACGTTGCGGCTGTTGCAACAGCCCGAGCAGCGCTGCACCTCCACGCACGGCGGCCACACCAGGAAGTTGGCGTTGGTGCGGTCCAGCAGGCGCCGTGAGATCTCAAACACCTCGGTGCGCGTCTTGCACTCGGCGATCATGGCTGGCTCTGCCGCCGCCAGGGGCCCTGCAGGGAGGGGAGCTGCATCAGGAGGCTCCTGCCTGAGCCCCTGCCCCGCTGGAGAGCGGGCAGCGCCCCCAGCTGCCCTCCTGGGACCTGGGTGCTTGTCCCACCTCCTTCAAGCCCAGGGGAGGCTGTGGCCCTGGCGATTGCCAGGTGAGGGTGGGGACTTGGTGGGTGGAGCTGCTCAGATCGCCTCTGGCTAGCGCTGGCCAATGCCGGGGCTACTGTGGTTTTTCACCGACAGAGAAACTGAAGCTCCGAGCACTAACCCACCCGATGCCACAGATGGCGGGTCGTGTGCCCGTGCCCAACTCTGCCAGCCCAGACACATCTACAGTGTTTTGGAGTCTGCAAGTGGGCAAAGGGCCTCAGGGTGAGTGCTGGCCTCGCCTGGGAAGGCTTCTCCAGGGCTGCTGACCTACTGTCTCCTTGTGGCCTCGGCTAAGGAGCAGGAGGCAGTCCTGGGCCCTACAGCTTCAGGCCACAGCCTGGAGCACCGTGGCAGAGATGTGCGGCCCACAGAGTGCAAGGGACAGCAGCTGGTTGGGACCCCGGCCCTACGCGTCCAAGCGTGACCTCACCTACTTTCGAACCCTCTCTGGGCCTCTGTTTCCAACTCTATTAAATGGGGACAATTGCATCTACCTCTAGGGTTGAAGTAAGGAAAAATGAGTGTTAAAGTGCCCAATTCAGGAACAGTGTGGGGACAGAGGGCCTGGTAACTCAACTCCAGGGTCACGCTCTCCCAGCCCCACTCAGCCCCGAGGACGGGGGCAGGGTGTGGAGACAACCCCTGGCACGCTGGCTGGCTGTGTGCCCTGGTTCTTCTTCCCTGGCTCCCACGCTGTGAGGGGACGCTGTGGGGACCCTCGGTCTTACCCAGGCTCCTCCTCCCACGAGAAGAGCTCTCTGGCTCGCCTCCGGGGTGAGTCCGGGTCATGTTGAGGTCCAGCTCAGCCCCATCGTCATCTGCAGGGAAGGGGACATGCTGTTGAGCACGGCTGCCACCCAGCACGGGCAGGAGCTCCGGACACCCGGCCGGCCCCCACTCCGTCGGGCAGGGCCCTCCGCCCTCTGTGAGCCCAGGGCCCGGGCTGGGATGAGGGGGGCCCGGCAGAGCCCTAGGCGGCCATGAGGCTGGCGTGGTGGAGGGTCCGCCTGCATCTCCAGGGGACTCCAGCCCCACTCCGGTCCTTCAGCCACATTTTTGGCCAGAACCCATGTCAATGGAGTTAAAAATAATCCTTCCCTCTGCTACTGTGAGCAGCCTGCAGGCTGCGGACCCGCGCCCTGGAGGCCAGCTCCCAGTGCCCCTCCGCCCAGCGTTCCCACAGGAAGTGCAGGATGCAGAAATTCCCAGAATCCCCGGGGGGCAGCCAGCCCTGAGCACAGCCCCTCTGGAGCCGGAGCGAGGGGCTGGAGAGGGTGGGGTGGGAGCTGGTGGCAGGGAAAGGGGGGCAGGGGGCGGGGTCCACTAGGGAGGAGCTGGGCCACGTGCCCTTGCCAGGTCGCGCCTCACCCCTCATCCTGCCCGCCCTTGTCCTCCCAGCGTGGCCGCTATTCCTGTGGTCACTGACTACCTCGCCCCTCTCTCAGGGCTGGGCCGCTGCCATCTCTGCCAGCGGCACTCCTCAGAGACACTGTGCCCCTCTAGAGAGGGTGGTAGAGCCGGCTACTGGGAATGGCGGGTGGGGAAGAGTCGTGAGCTCAACCCTGAAGCTCGCTCATGAGCCAGCAAACCAACAAAGGGGTGCTGGGGACCAGTCCCGCCGCCTGCGACTCAGTCTCCCTGCCCACTGGCCCCGTCAGGACAAAGGCCCTGCTGACTGCACCCGCCGTCCAGGGTCCCAGGCTTGGAGGGGACAGTCCTGCAGGGAGCCTTGACTGGCCAGCTTCCCACCAGCCGTCTGTCTGTCCCTCTCCCTGCCTTCCTTTCCCTCTGCCATCTCTGGAATGTCCTGGTGGGGAGGAGGCGACTGGAAGATGTGCTTTGTGGAAATGTTAAGTTGATTAGGAAAAAAATAGCCACATGGCTGCCTCGGGACAGTCCTGCCATTGAAAACCTCTGTCCAAGATCCGACCCCACGGGGTGTGGAGGGGCTGGGGGGAGGCCTTGGAAAGCAACTGCACAAAGGCTAAATTTGGAAGTTGCCCCATTGTGTGGCCAGGGCTGGCCAGCCGGGCACGGGCGGGGCTGTGGGAGACTCGGGTGGGGGCCTGGGAACAATAGGTGGCCCAGCTGGGCCCCTCCAGCGGCCACTGCCCCCCAGCCCCCCAGCCCCGGCGGATTGAAAGGGCCCGGGAATGCTTTTGAGAGGGCGCCAGGGGCCCAACGGGGCGAGGAGACAAAGGCAGGAAGTGCTGTTCCCCCGTAGATAGCGCCGGGCAGGGATCACAAAGTGACAGAGACGGGACCCCAGGGGGAAGGGGACCCGGGGGTGCAGGGGGGGTGCCGGCCAGGGCTCCAGGGACCAGGCCAGAGGTTAGAATAGAATGGAATTCGCTCTGAAGACCGCGTTATAAATACACCCGCCCCGCCCCGCGCCACGTGCGTGCGCGCCAGGGAGCACGTGCCCGGCCGGCGCGCTCTCGGCACGGGCAGGGCGGGCACGCGCGGGGCTGCCGCTGGCTGGCCTGGGCCAGGTGTCCCCGGGAGACCTTGAAGGCCTGGACCCGGGCCAGGGGGCAGGGCGATGGCTCCCCGGCACCGCCCTCCCGGCGGGTCCACACCTGGAGACACTCAGCACCGCCCCGGGCTCCCCAGCCACATGTGGGCGCTTCTCTGCCACACCCCACATCCAGGTACCAACCTGTGTGCCCTCGGTCTGCAAAGGCGGGTGTGGCGGGGCCCTCCCTGGAAGGCAGGAGGGCTGCAGGGGCCCCAGGTCTCTGGGTACCTCCCAGCTCCCCCACAGAGGCCAGGGCATGACAGAGGCCAGGACATGACAGAGGCCAGGGGCCAGGGCACGGGAGGAGGATGCGATTTACCTACGGAGTCACTGTGCAGCAGGCGCTGGAGGTCCTCGAAGGAGCGGATGGAGCGGTCACTCAGCATCTCATAGAGTTCCTCAGGAATGGGGTCCCCCTGCCAGGCAGACACGGGGACTGAGCAGCCTGGTAGGGGTGTTCCCCACTCTCCAGCACTGGCCTCCCCTGTGGAAGGTTCTGGCAGGGTCCCATCATGAAAAAGTGAACAGTGAAGCTGGGCCAGACAGGACCCAGGGGGACAACCAGGAACACCAAGGCCTTGGGACTGGAACCTCTGAAATGCAGCTCAGATGTGACACCCCAGCCCCACTCCCCACCAGGAGCCCCAGCCCACTTCCAGCTGCCTGTTCAACTTCTCCCCTCAGACCACAGGTTCCGGGAAGGCTCTGGCAATCAAAATTCTCTCTGCTTCTCTCTCCACACCTAACCGCTGAGGACAGCCGGCACAGATCACAGGTGACCTAATGACCCCATTTTACAGATGCAAAGACAGAGGCTCCACGGGGATCACCCTCTGCCCGTCATCCTATTATCAGCAGGAACCGTACCCAAACCCAAGTCCTTGGGACAGCAGAGCCTGTCCTCCAGCCTCTGGGTACGAGAGGCGTTTAATAAATGCTTGTAGCGCTGGATGGTCTCAGGAGGCCACCTGTTCAGGTCTCGTGTGAAAGAGGAGAGAGGGAATCCTCAGAATGGGCGGGGGGGGAGAGACCTGCAGCTGCCCCAGGCCCCACCAATGTCTATTTTTAGGCCGCCCCTGGCCTGTCACCAAACACACTTGAAACTTAACAAGCACTTTAGCAGGGCCTCAGTCCTGCGGAGCCCAGCTTCCTCCAGGGAAACCACAGATCCCCCAACAACACAAGAGGTCACCGCCACATCCCCGTGGTCCCAGGAGACCCGAGGGCCCAATGCCAAAGAGGTGAGGAGCAGAAAAGTCTGAAAGGCAGAGTCTGCTCCACCCACCAGTCAAGGGGAGCAGAAAATGTGATCACCGCGTGTGCGTGTGCATGTGTGAGTGACCTGGCCACACGTGCATGTAGGACCGTGTGGCCTGGGGAAAAGCCCTGAGAGAGGGCAGCAGACTGGCCGTATGTTCAGCCTCAGTCTTCTGGGCTGAGCAGGGAGGAAGCCCTGCCCCGCTGGGGTGAGATCTGAAGGTGGGCACGGGGCAGGAGGGGGCAGAGAGGCTGCCCCTGTACCGCCTGAATGGGAAGGGGGTCATCTCAGCCCCCAGGCACCCCGCCTGGAAAGCTGTGTTTTCTCCACGTTTGTGGGGACCCAGGGGTGGTGACATGCACCCACAGGATTGCTCAAGCCCAAGAGTTCAAGACCAGCCTGGCACCAGGCCAAGATCTGGTCTCAAGGAAAAACAAGCTTTAGGGGCCTTGACACTTGTGGTGGTGTCAGGGACACCCCTCCAGGGCACAGCGGTGTCCTGCTCTGGCCCCCATGTTGACTGGAAGCTAGGAGACTTGGATGGGGAGTGTGATCCCTGCGAATGTCCCTGCAGCCCAACCGCAAGAGTGAGTCTACACTGCAGTGTTTTCCAAATGTCCACAAAGTATCCAACCCACTAGCAGAGGCAGGTGGGTGGTCTCCAGGGAAGGAAGCTCCTCTGAGTTTGGTCAAACCCCAAACTGACAGTCTGGACCGCTGGATTACATGCCCCATGCTGCTATCTACTGCTGTGTGACCTCGGACTGGTCACTGCCCCTTTCTGGTCCTAGTTCTCATCTGTGGATCAAAGCAGTTGAAAAATATTCGACTTGATTCTAATGCTGCCTCGAGGCAACAGGAGGAGCAGAAGAAAGCCAAAGTGGGGGTACCCTGCCAGGCCTCCCAGGCTCCCTCGGTGTGGAGAACGAGAAGTATTTGTCGAGTAATCATTCAATAACCTTCCAGGAAGGGGCCCAAAGGCTTATACTCCAGCCAAGGTCTCCTTGCCCACTGGAGAGCTGGCCATAGCTGGTAGCCTGGCAGAGCAGGCAGACCCCCCCAGCAGGCCTAGGGGATGGATGCCCCCAGCCCAGACCTCTAAGGCTGGGGCGGGGACAGCACAAGACAGACTGCAGAGGCAGGAGTACCGTGCATACAGCAGGCACTCAATAAATACTGGTATAATGCACCAAGGACTCTCTCCCCCCCTCCCTGGGGTCCTCTCCAATATGATTTTCCCGCCTCCTCCTCCAGAGGGCCACTGGGATCCTCTTCCCCAACCCCAAACAAGTCCCCCCTCCAGGCGCGAGGCCTTTCCTACTTGTGCTTCTGCTAATCTGGCCACTAGACACCCAGGGTTCCCAATGAAGCCCCGGTGTGGTAGCAGTGACACAGCTAACAGTTGTCACCTGCTGACCGTGAACCATAAGCTCCCCATGAGCAAGATGCTGATCAAGCCACCAGTCCCAAGAGGCCAGCAGCACTTCTACCCCATCTTCCAGATGGGAAAACAGAGGCAGGCCCCAGTCTACGGACAGTGAAGCACAGCCGGGTCCTCCCCAGGCCCAGCACGCCCACCCTCTCCCAGCCCACCAGGGGAGTCCAGGTGTCCCTGCTCTCTGTTGATGCCCCAGGGCCTCAGCATGGCTGAGGTCCCCATTGGCTCTTTACCCCTGTGGCACAACAGTGGTATTTCCATCGCAGTGACTGGACTCCCGGGGGACACTGGCACAGCTGAAGGCGTTCTGTGGTCCCGAGCAGGGGAGGGCTGCTGGTGTCTAGTAGGGCTAGGCCGGGAGGCTGCCCAGCACCCCACCGTGCACAGGACGTCCCCACACATACAGCAGTACTGACCCCAAGTGTGCAGAGGCTGAAAGACCCCACAGCAGAGGGGAGAGGGACTTCCCAAGCCAGGGCATCCTGGATCCAGGGAGCAGGTCTTTTAACTCTCAAAAACCTCAATTAGCGGGGCGCAGTGGCACAAGCAGGGCACGGTGGCACACGCTTGTAATCCCAGAGACTCAGGAGGCTGAGGCAGGAGGCTCTGAAGTTCAGGGCCTGCCTGGGAAACTGAGACCCTGTCTCAAAATTAAAAAATAATGACAACATCAACAAGGGCTGGGGATGTAGATCAGTGGTAGAGCAACGGTGGGTTCAGTCCCCAGCACAGCTCCCCTCAAAACCAGCCCCAACAACAGCAAAAACCTTGGCTTCTTCGTCTTAGACGGACTAAGGAAATCTCGCCCAGGCCGTAACTGCAGAGCAGCCAGCAAATAGCCAGTACTTAATGAGGGTCATTGTCAGAATGGCTCCTTCGAGGGCAGCTGCAAGAGGCACATGTGCCCTGGGCCAGCAGCACAGGACAGTTTCAAGAGGACAATGAGTGGGTGGAGAGCTGCCCGTGGGAGAGCGACTGCATGATCCCCTGCGTTGGGCCACAGGAAATGGCACCGCAGCCCCACACTGACACCACCTGGTGCTGTGGGGGCTGGCAGGTCCCTTCCGGGACTGAGGGTGGATGAGGGGTAGGGACAGTCAGCCTGTGGTCAGCTCCAGGATGTGCTGCCCTGACTTCAGGGACACCTGTCTGGAGTCAGGCCACTCTGGGTGTGGGAGGACGAGCTGCCCGGAGCCTAGCTTTCCTGGCCCCAGGTTCTGGAGGCCCCCAGGTGGGTGCCGCCCCACCCCCTAGACAGGAGAAGAGGCCTGGCCCCTGCAGAAGCTGCCCCAGATCTCAGGCCTGAGGCTCTGGCAGGGCGAGGGTGTGGCCAGGACGTGGCTGGGGCAAAGCCAGCCCCAGGAGCCAAGGCAAACAGCCTCCTCCCCGCCCTGCCCCCAAAGCCAGCTGCCAGAGGTAGGAGGGCACCCAAGAGCTGAGGCCAGGTGAGTTACCTGCTCCCAGCAGACTGGCAGATCAAAAGGGCTCGAACCCCACCCTCCGCCTGGGCGCACGCAGACACACTCTCCGGCAGGCCCTGGGCCCGGCAACCAGGGGCGCTGACCTTGGCCAGCAGAGGCAGAGGCCCACTAGGCTCCGCGTGCCCGCTGACCGGGAGCCCCAGCCTGATCTAGATGGGATGCGGAGCCAGGTCCTGTGGGGAACCCTGGCCAGGCAGACCACAGACGCCCTCTCCACCAGCGTCTCCCTCCCTCACTTCACTTCCTGTGGCTCCCGGGACCCTCCTGCTCGGCCTCCCGGCCTCTTGCTGCAGCAAGAGAAAATGTCAAAGCAGGAAGAGAAGAGAGAGGGCCTGTCCAGCGATGGGCAACCATCACCGCCATCACTGCTGCCACCCCGAGAGCAATTTCGCTGCTCCCTGGGAGCTGAGTGAACCCAACCTTCTTGTTGCTCTTTTTTTTTAAGCTGGTGGAAACTGAGGCCCCGCTAGAGACACATAGAACACCTGATGGTCCTTCCCCTCTGTCCTTTCCTATCCTGACAAGACAGAAGAGAAACAGACACCTGTTTCTCAGGGTAGGGTGGGAGGTGGTCTTGAAAGCCCGATGACTTTTCCTCCCGGCCTGGCCAGAGAACAGTGTGCCATGAGGGCCACCCTGGGGGGCGAGGGTGGAAGGAGGGGTGTTTCTAAAGCTGGCCTGGACCCCGCCCCGCCCTACCATTCACTGTCCTTTCCACTTATTTCCCAGTTGTCCACCAAGTCCCAGGGACCGTGTGGTCAAGACAAAAGCCCCAGAGTGTAGTTTGCATTCCGGTGGGAAAACCGAAAACAAACAGCTGAATACCCAGAAAAACGAAAATAGTCGTCATAGAAGGAGCATCTGGAAGAGAGGAGGGGAAGATTTTGCCAAGGACTTCTAGAAAACACCTCAACCCCCCCCCACCCACTTCCTGGCTCTTGCACCTGAGCCTCCAAATCCTGTCTGACCTGGATTGCACACCTCCAGGTCTTTGGGGGGGGGGGGGGTGCAGCAAGCTGGTTTCCGCCCCCTAAGGCTGGCAAAGGGGGAGGCAGCCAGGGGGTGAGAGGAGGGCCCCCCACCCCTTCCCAGCAGAAGGGTGCTGAGGCTGCTGAGGCGCAGGCATCACATGACAGGGGCAGTCTACCTTGCCGGAAGCCAGCTCAGCTGATGGAGAGGGGACCTCAGAGGCTTCTGCAGACTCCGGGCCCCCATCCCCCTTCCCAGCTGCAGAAGCATCCCTCTGACATGCCCTAGGACAGGGCCACCTCCCGCAGCCAGCCCTCCCTGAGCCTCCCTACACTGGCCAACCACTCTGAACTGGTCCCGAAGTGAATAGGTCCCCTTCCCATCCAGGTCTCCTCCGCAGCGGCAGGAGAGCTTTCACAAACTGCAAAACACACACAATTGTGGGTCCTGTATTCCTGTGTTCGAGGACACTGACTAAAGTCAGGAAGGGACGTGTCTGAGCCTCTGCCCCAGGCACATACTCAAGGAGTTGAAGAGGTGGTGCTGGAGGAAGCTGGAAATGGCCAGGGGAGGCCAGACTCTGGTAGCCAGACTCTGCAGACCAGCCGGAATCTGCAGGGCAACAGCCCAGGATAGGAACCCATTGGTGGTGGCCCCGGGGCCCTCCTATCTTGGAGGTTCCCATCAGGCTTATATGAAAAGAGAAATGCACTAGACATCCCTGCTGGCTTCAGTCACATCAGCGCCATTTACGGTCACATGGGGGTGGCTGAGAAAAGCACAGAGGGGTAAGGTTTGAGGGGCGCCAAACTGAACTGACCAGGCAAAAAAAGGTGGGGGTTGCTATGGAGTCCAGATCCAATGGAGGCTTCCGTCGCCCTCCGAGGACCCCAGGAAGGAAATGGGGTCATTGCAGAGGCGGTGAGGTGCCAGGGCCCGTGGTGGACCCACCTGTTGCGCGGGGGCGGGCACCTGGCACTGGGTGTACGGAGCCGTGCGTTCCTGTGTACGTGCGTGGGTGTGCGCGCACGTGTACTCAAGCCGCGTGTGCAGGGGCCGTGCGTGCGTTTGTGTGCGGTGCGCGCGCGTGTGTGTCCCGAGTGTGCACGGGCGTGGCAGCGGCGGGCGCGCGACCTGGCCGCGGTAGTGCGTGCCCGCCGCCGGAGCGCAGCATCGCCTCCGGCCAGGAGTGTGCATGCGTGGGGTGAGTGAGCGAGTCGGGGGGCCGGGCGGGGTGGGCTGCGGAGAGCAGCCGCGGGGCGCCACCGTTCCCAGGACGCCCTGGCACCGGGCCAGCCCCCCGGTCCCGCGGCGAGGCGGCAGCTGGGGCCGGCCGGCGCCCCCATCCCCAACAGCTGGCCGCGGCCCGGGGGGCTGCGGGAGAGGCGAGGAGGGGACGTCGCGAGAGGCCTGCGGGCGGCCGGGCCGAGCCCCGCGTCCTCCCTCCCGGGTGCGGGCCGCGGGGGGCGGCCGCGGAAGGGCGGGGCCCCAGGTCAGGCGGCCGGCGGCCCTCGAGGAGCCCCGAGAACAAAAGGAGACGGTGACGGCTCCTTCGTGGTCAAAACAACCTGCGCTGGCGGCGGCCCAAGGCCGGGCCGCGGCCTGGAGCCCTCCGCCTTAACCCCTTCGCCGCCGCCGCCTCTAGGCTGCGCCCCGCTGGAGGCCGAAGGGGCTGGCGCTCCCCGGGAGCCGGCGGGGTGCGAGCTGAGGACCGCGGCGGGGCGGGGGCGGGACGGGACCCAGGCTCGCCGCCTCCCGAGTGCCCTCCTCCCCTCCACCTCGCGCCTCCTCCGGCCCCGCCCCCTTTCCCACCTGGATTCCGGCTGGACTTGCCAACTCACTGCTACGTGCGCCTGGCAGGGTGGGGGCACCGATCGAGACCCGGTCGCTCCCGCAGCCGTTTCTACACCCCGTCTCCCTTGCAGCTCGGCTTCTGCAGGCGGCGCGTTCCGCACCCTACATGCGGGGGAGAGAGGTGCTTCCTCTCGAAGGGCGCGGGCGCAGGTATGGCGGGGCCTCAGGCACACACCGCCCCGGGGGCTGGATTCCTTACGAGCCCCCAATCTTCTTCCTACGCTACGCGCCCAAGTGCCCCAAACCTACCCTTGCCTGTCTGTCTCCCTGCCTCTCTCCCTATGCCAAGACACAACTGCTCCTGGACAGTTCGAGTGCCAGGCATGCCCTGCGCGGCCCGAAGTGCCCACCCCAACCCAGAGCGTTAGCCAGGGTGGGACCCGAACCCCCGCAAAAGGTCGGCGTGGATGTCACGGGTGTGTAAGCTCGTACCTCCAGGAAGGCTGGGTCCTGGACAGAACCTAAGGCCAGGCTGGAGCGAGCCAACGTGGGCTCGGAAGAACGCCCTGCCTTCTGCACCTCTGGCACACCCCACCCCCTCTTCTCCAGCTGGAAAAGGTCTTTCACTCAGGTTCTGGGGAGGGGGCAGGGCCACACACACCCTCCCTAGAGGCTAACAGACTCAGGGACGTAGATTCCCCCCCATGGAAAGAAAGCCACTGCTGCTCCCTTCCCTTAGAGCCTAGCCCCTCCGGACCTCGCCTTCCAGTCCTCGGGGTCACCCAGCGCCCGGCGCCAGGCTCTTGAGCTGGAAGGGTCCAAAGTTCACTGCAGGGAGAGGAGGGGGCAGCCAGGCGTGGGGGTGGGGACGATGAATGCTGAGAACCAGCCCCAGCCGCCGTCGCAACTCACCTCGGCGCTGACCAGACGCAGGTAGCAGCAGAGAGACAGGAAGAGCGCCCAGCAGCGATTCATGCCGACTCCGGGCCCGGCCCCGCGGGGCCCCGGACGCGTAGACGGAGCGCGCCGCCCCCGCGGCCAGGGCGGGGGGCTGGGCAGGAGGGTGGGTTCGGCTCGGGTCCGCCGCGATCAGGCGCTCAGGCCGCTGCAGCCGCCGCCGCGGCTCACCCGCATGGCCCCCGGGCGCCGCCGCCCCCGGCCCCGGCTCCGTCGCTGGGGGGCTGGGGAGGACCTGGGCACGGGACCAGGGTCCGAGGCCGCTACCTGGGCGGATCCCGAGCCCGCGCGAGCATCCACGGCCAGGGGGCTGCGTCGCGAACCAGCCAAGGCGTCTAGCCGTGTGGGGGCGCGCAGGGGACTCCAACCTCCGAGAGGAAAAGGAACGCGGCAGTCGGTGGCTCGTCTTCCCTCGCCGGCTAAAGGCGTTTTCCTCTGCCCGCTGGCTTAGTTTTTCTGCAACATTTTCTGGAAAGGTCCCCCAAATCAGAAAGCGCAGGGCTGGGCACCTCAAAGCGCGAGTCTTCCAAAAAAAACTTTTTCCAAAGTTGGCTCTGCTGCGGCGGCTCGAGCACCCGGGCAGGGAGAGGTGCAAACTCCCGCCCGGGCCGGGTGGGGGGGGCGGGAGCGTGTGCGCCCTGGCGCGGGGCCCGGGCGGCGGGCACGGCTGCTCCGCGCGCGCGGCGTTCCCGCTGCGCGCTCTGCCGGGCCGGGCCGACAGGTGGACGCGGCGCGAGTCGGTGGGTCGGTCCGCCCGCCGGCTTGCAGCTCTGGGCGTCCTCTGCGGGTTGCGAGCTGCGGCTGCTCCGGCTTTCTCTTTGCAACGAGGCTGGAGGGTGGGATTTTTTTTTTTTCCTTTTTGCGCGTGTGTGTATGTGTGTATGTGCGCAAAATATCTCCCAGGGATGAAAGATGGGCGCTGGCGGCCGGAGGGGAACCCTCAGGGAGGCAGCGGGGGAGGCCGCGGGCGCGCGGGGAGGCAGGCGGGCCGCTCCCGGCTGCAGGAGGAGAAGTTGCCACCCTTTCAGCTGTTCCGGCTTTTATAAAGGAGAAGGGAGAGTGGAGAGGTGGGTGGAGACAGCCTTTCCTCTTCTGGCCGGGAGTCAGCGCCAGGAGGGGGCTGGAGCTTGGGGAGGGCCTGGGGTGAAGGCGGGGCTCCTAGGGGTCTCTGATAACCGGGTAGCCCCCCTGCCCATGAATCTGGTCGTGGGGAAAGAAGATCTAGGGGCGACGATCCCCTTCCCCCACCCTCAGCATAGGGACTGCTGACCCGTTAGGAGCCCACGTGGTTAGGGGTGTCTCCAGGGCCCCACGCAGGAGCCCAAGCCCCCTTCGCGACCAGATTGAGCAGCCTGGCACCCGCATTGTGGCTCGGGACTCAGGCTCTGCAGCCTGACAGCCTGGACTCAGATCTGCCCTGGCACTGAGCAGCTGGGTCACCTTGGGCAAGTCACTTCCCTCCTGTGCTCCCTATCTCTGCTCAAAGTGTGGGCAGGGTTATGGTTTGGATTAAATATCAGAAAGGTCCGGAAGCACCCAGCTGAGCTCCAGCCACAGGGTAGCCCTGCAGACCCCACGGCCACTTGGCTGCGAGCTGGGTCTGCGCATCCTCCTCTAGCTGCTGCCTGGCACACAGCGGCTCCGCCAGCTTGGGCGGAATTGGAATTTGTTGAACTGCAAAGTCACACGAACCCCACCACCCTGCCGCATCCTCCGGCTCCACCAGATCCAGCAGTCGCCCTGGTGTTTACTACCTCCCGCAGCCGGGTCCCAGCCCAGGGGCCTCCCGCCCACACCAGCACTCACACAGTTAACGCCCTCCACCCCCAGCGCAGGGAGTGCTGTGTCCCTGCCTTCAGCAGTCACACTGTCACACTGACAGTCACACTCAACACGCCAAGCCCAGCACACAGCCACAGGCCCACCGCATCTCCCGGCCGCCTGGCTTGAGGGCACCTGCCTCTCATCCACTTGCACAGTCCTGTCACCTGTCCTTTGTACCCAGATGCGACCCCGGTGCCGGCTACTGCTCACACCTGCACACACCGAGTCTTGCAGCTGCCTCTCTCTGGACCTGCACGGGGCGGGGAGAGCCTAGGGAGGAGTTCCAGAGGGGCCTCTTTACAGATGGCCACAGGCACCTATCCTCCCTGATGGCTGCCTGGCGGCCTGGTGCTGAGGCTGGGAGGTGACCCAGGGCAGGTGGCCAGGCAAGTGTCCCCAGGAGGGTTATTTAGCCTCAGGACCTCAACTGTCTCCTCTGGGAACTGTTCCTATAAGTGGAGGGATTTCAAAGAGGCCTAGTGGCAGCTTGGGGCGGTGGCAGTCTGTCATCTTTGTGGTAACGGGTTCTTGGGTATATACTTCTATAGAACTGAAGCAGGCAGTCCTGTGAACCTCGGGACACTGTGCAGAGCATTTGCCCACCTCGTGGAGTGGTCTGGAGCTCAGATGCAATAGTCCCTGCTCACAGAGACCCTTACCCTGGGGACCCCCGTGCGGACAGGCGGACACATGCATAAGCAGATAAATTAGGGAGGCAAGGTCACAAGCAAGGGGGGAGGGTAATCCCTACACACTTGACTTGATGTTTAAAGATTTAGAGATTAAAAGATAATCTTGACCTTGACCTGTGTTCTCACCTAAAAATGAGAATAGCTTCCATTACTGTTGAGCGGACCCTGTGGGGGGAGTGCTCCTCTGTCCATCTAGCTTCTCAGTGCTTCTGTGAAATTTTACTTCTGTTTTTCAGGTGGGGAAACTGAAGCACAGAGGAGCCAAGCAACTTGTTCAAGGTCACACAACCAGTAAGTGATAGAGGCACAACCTGACCCAGGTGGACCAGCTACCAAGCCCCATGCTTACCAACTAAGCTGAGCTGTTTCCTGGCAGGCGACAACGATGATGAAGACAGTGACAACTTTTGCACGGGGCTCTTGTGAGCATCAAGTGCATTAACACATGTGACACGAGTGAAGCACTGAGAGATGCAGTTAGGAAGGAGACCAGTCCTGGTGCTCCGGGACCTCCCCGTCCCCGAGTGAGAGAGAGAGAGACTCCTCCACAATCCAGAAGTGGCAGGACAGGGACCACCAGAGGCATTGGGAACCACCTGGCACCTGGACCTAAATGCCATTAGGAGCAGAACCCCTTTCCTGCACCTTCTCCTTGCAGACAGGTGGCTCTGGAAAGCACACATCTGCCTCTTCTTCGTGGCACCTCCTCCAGGGAGCCCTCAGGCCCAGTGCTTGCTCTGGGCTCCCCAGTGTGTCCTGTCATGCCCAAGTGTCAGTCTAGCCCTAGACAGTTCAGGGTGAACGAAGGTCACGGCTCCCTGCATGTAGTAGTTGCTCAACTAAATGTTTACTGAAGGAACAAATAAATGAATAAACATCTTGCCTGTTTCTTTCTCTGAATCCTGGCCGCTTTGTAGCGTGAGACTTTAGCCTCAGAACCATGGGGACCTGTGGGCCCCCCTCCCGGGAACACAGTGGAGAATCTGGAGGTATCAGAGCTGGGAAGGCCCCACCCATCTTCCAAATTAGGGCCATCGGGGGATTGTGCCCTCCCGGAGGGAATGGGTCACGGACCTTGAGGTGGGGCCCACACCCCAAACTGCATCCCAGGCCACTAACAGGTGGGAGCCCCGAAGGAAGGCCAGCAGCCAGAGCTCAGCAGTACAGGTGGGGCCCGCCCGGGCTGGGCTTTCTGGACTGGGCTTCAGGTGCCACTCAAGCCCCCTCGGAGGAAACCACCCTCCACCCCGGGTGGGGCCAGGGAAGGAGGAGGGCTCCACCCCCAGGTCCTGCCCACTAGTCCAGAGGGGTGGGGACCCGTGTGTCCCGGGTCCCTGGGTCTCAGGAGCCTCGTCTGTGCCACGAGAGTTTGCCGTGCCCCACCTGGCGGAGGAGGACGAGGATAAGGCGCCGTCCGCGCCCGGGCTGTGGGTGGCTGCCAGCAGCTCCCAGAGCCACCCCCACCCCCACCCCCACCCCGGCTCCCTGTGGGCAGGGCCTTGAGCTACCTATAAAGCACCTCCTAGCCCTTGCCTGCGTCACCTCACAGTCACCCAGTGAGGGAAGGAGGGCCAGCCCGTGCATGCCCACAGAGGGGGAAAGTGGACCTCAGAGGGGGCAAGAGGCAAGGCTTCCCATCCAAGACCACTGGAGTTCAAATCCCTGCTCCACCGTTTACTAGCTGTGTGACCTTGGGCAAATTACTTAACCTTTCTGAACCTCACTATGAAATGTAGGCAACCCAAGTTCCCACCTCACTAGGTTCAATGAGCTAATATATCTGCAGGGTTGAAGCACATAGCCCTGTGCAGATGTAGGTCATCACCGTGGTCACTCGTCCAAGCTGTGTGTCCACACACACACACACACACACACACACCTGGCTGGAGTTGCAGAGCCAGAGCTGGGGGTGGACAGGGCTGGAGGGACCACAGGCTTGCACCTGGGGTGGAGGGGGGTCCCCACCAGGTTCTGCCCTCACCCATCACCCTGGTGAGGCTCTGGCTGCTGTGCTGGGGACCCCAGGAAGGCAGGCAGACAGACAGACCCCAGGCCTGGGCCAGCCCCGGAGCCCACCCGTGGCCTTGGGACTGGTGCTGTACACAAAGGCAGGGAAGCGCCTGTTTGTTTTCCTGGGGCTCCGCGGGCATTTTTAGCTCCTCCAGACGAGGAAGAGGATGTGGATGTTTGGACGTCGTGGTCCAGTGGCCCGGCAGCTCCCTCTACCCGCCTTGGACGCTGGCAGAACTGGAGCCAAGCTCTCCGGGGGCGAGGGGAGCCAGGCCCTGTGGCTGGGAGAGCCCGCACAGGACAGGAAGGTCATCTCTCCCAGAGAAGACAGGTCCACCTGGGCCTCTGCGGGGGTCGGGGCTGGCCCGGAGGAGCTCCCGGGCCCCAGTACTGAGCACCAGGGCTGTGTTCCTGCCGAGGCCCACAGCCCGTGAGGAAGGAAGTGTGACCAGCCCCTGAGTCCTCCGCTCTGCCCTGGAGGGCTGGTGCTTAGAGGATGCTCACACCTGGAGAAGAGGAGACTGAGGCTCAGAGAGGCAAACCAGCTGGCCCAGCATCCCCCAGAAAGGAAGTGGCAGCACCAGCATTTGACCCAAAGCTGTGATGCCAAAGCCATTTCCACGTTACAGGAGGCTTCCCCATGGCGGGCAGAGTGACACACACTGGTTGTCCTGGTGACTCTGACTTGGGAGGCTGAGGCAGGAGGATCACAAGTTTAAGGCCAACCTCAGCAACTTAGGGAGACCTTATCTTAAGATTTTAAAAAAAGGGGGACTGGGCATGCAGCTTACTAGTAAAGTGCCGCCAGCTTCAATCCTCAGTACCCCCTCAAATATTAACCCAATGCCTCCCCGTGTGGACTAACGGGAGATGCCCAGCCTTTTCCACATCCTGATGCACCCAGGAAAGGTATGAGCTGGTGAGGAGCAGGGGTTCCGGGGCCTCCAGCACCCACCCATCACCCCAGGGCAGGAAGCCATGTGCTACCTCGGGAGAGAGGCTGTGTCCTGGATGTGGGTTAACTTGCCCTCTGCAAATCAGGGCGTCCTCCTGTCCCCTCCTAAGGAGCCGACGGGGGATTCTGGAAGGGACGGGGCAGGAGAAGCCCAGGCAGGGAGGGGCAGCCTCTCTTGCCAAAGAGAACTCCTTGTAACTTCAGGGAACCTCCTGTCAGAAGAATGGGAAGCAGCCGTGGTATAAAAGGCACAAATGATCACTATCCATCCGAGCAGAGGCACCGTGACACTGTGTCAGGCAGCTGCTCCAGGCCCGGGAGGTACCGTCACTCATTCAAACTGCACAGCGTGCCTGCAAGGGCACGGCCGTCACCACCCATCTTACAGATGGGGAAACCAAGGCCTCCAGCGGCTTTGCCAGGGTTGGGGTGACGAGGAGAGAGCTGGGACTCGAACCCAGGCAGCCCAGCACCAGCAGCACCCAGTGAACCTCTCCCCCACCCACC